TGCAATTCTCTATGTAGTTCACTTGTATCAGGTTAAGATTTTATTTTCTTTCAAAAAACTCTTTTTTTTCTGAAATGACACGTATACAAGTTATGTTTTATTAATTGGGTCAATACATTTTCATAAGATTATAAAAAACCTTTTAGTTACAAGAATGCAAAGATGTTATTTTTAAATATAACTTTATTCTAGATATTTCCCAAGGGGGGAAAAAAATCCTTTTTTTTGTCACAGCATTCTAAAATTATCTTTTTATTATTAAGTGGGTTGGTTTTTTTGTCACACGATTCAAGAAATTATGTTTGGACTTGGAAAAAAAAACATCTAAGATGCAATCTTTTTGTTGGAAAAAAGAACTTAATTCTCCAAACATACTTTTTTTTCCCTTGTAGGGATACAATTTAATCATCGTCGTCGTCAAAACAAAAAAAAACATAAAAAAAAAAGTTTCACTTAAATTTATCGATAGCAATTTAACAACTAATCCAAAATGGGCTTTTTGGGTGCAGTTGTGTTCCTACCTGCTTTCTTGGGTACGGGCATGTTGCTTTCTTGTCCTTTGTGGTTTGCCAGGTGAGGCGCCAGTCGGTATGGTGAGACGCCCCTTTGGGGAAGCCCTCTTATTACTTTCCACATGGGGCGGTGGGATTGGGGTGGGGGCAACGTTGCGCCTGACACCCGTCACTCTCAACACGGGGCAAGGTGTCGGATGATGCCATGTTGGTGCACGAGGAGTCGGAGGGCTGGGGGAAGGTCTTTTGCATGCACATGGAGACAACATGTGCTAAAAAAACCCAAATAAGCAGTTCTGAGCTTGAAATAGAACATGACGCAGATCCCGCAGTCTGACATCACACTGCGTTTAAAACCCAATCCTTGCTTAAAACCTTACTTCATATTTGGCATCCTCTTTGAAACCCCAACGTGGGCTGACATGTAATTCAAATTTGATCGACCAGTCCTGAAACTCAACTTTGATACCCTTCCCCAAGTTTGAAGCCATATTTCAAAACCCTAACCTCAAGAAAACCCAAATTTGATAACCATGCTTGAAATCATACTTTGAAACACTAACACACTGTCTTCAAACCTTACCACTGACTTGAAACCCTACTCTGTAACCCTAATCCTGTCTTGAAGCCCAAACCCAAATTTAAAAACTTAATCTGAAACCCCATCCTTGACTCAAAACCCTAATTTGAATTTGAATGTCTAGTTTAATACCCTACTATGAAGTCCTAATTATGGCATGAAACCCAAACCCAGATTTAAAACCTTAATTTGAAACCCTAACCCTGACTCAAAATCCTAATTTGAAACCCTACCATTAGTTTAATACCATTCTCTAAAACCCTAACCCTATTTTGAAACCCAGACTCCAGTTTGAACCCCTAATTTAAAACCCTATCCCTGGTTTAATCCTTAGCACTGACTTGAAACATTACTCTATGCTTGTTTGGATCCCGAACAGACTTTCAATCCCAATTTGAAACCTTAACAGACTAAAATGCCTCCACTGGGTTTCAAATTGGGGTTTCAAGTCAGAGTTAGACTTACAACCCTAATTTGAAACCTTAACAGACTAAGCACCCTACATCCATCCACCCATCCATCCATTCATCCATCCATCATCTGAAACCGCTTGATCCTCACAAGGGTTGCAGACGTGACCAATCACAGGGCCCTCATGGACGAACAACCATTCGCGCTCAAAATCACACCTAGGGACAATTTCAAGCATTCCAGCAACCTACCATGCATGCCAGAATCGAACCCTGGACCTCTGCACTATGAAGCGGACATGCTAATCAGTTGAGTACCGCACAACCCAAAACTCAACATTGATGCCTGGCTTGAAACCCTTCTCTAAAATCCTTTACCTCATTTGAAATTCTAAACCCAATTTAAAACACTAACCCGAACTAGAAACCTTACTTTGTGAAACTTTAACTCCAGTTATAACCCTAACTCTGACCTGAAACCCGAATTTGAAACCCCAATCCTACTTTAAATCCCGAACTCTAACTTGGAAAAACTTCTTTGAAACCCCGACCTTGGTTTAAAGCCCTTATTGCAACGCCTAAGTGTGTCCTGGAAATCTTCGTTGTGTTTTTATTAATAATGTTGTGTCGAGTTGATGTGAATACCTCGTTGTTCTTTAGGGGAGCCGAGACAGCTTAATGAGGTGCAGTTATGTGTGCCGCAAAGTGCGGTACAGTAGACGAGTGCAGCGGACAGGCCCCTGCCGCTGACCTTTGATCTATGTTTATGTGCAATGGCCAACATTACCGTCCCTCTCGTGTTGCCCGATTACACGCTAACACGCCAGCGCTATGGGCGAAATGGAGAGTTCGCTAAGCGGCGCGGATGCTTTTGGCTTGATTGATGGCGGGCAGCTGCTGGCGAGCTGGCCGGCCGCCATCTCACGTCCCAACTGGCACCACCACGCCTTCAGTATCTTCAACAAGTGCCAATGTTACAAATCTGACTTTTTGTCAAAGAGTTTAAGGGAACCATATTTTTTGTAAAAATATATATATTTTTTGTCAACAAACTGAAAAATTCAATTTTGTTTTAAATCTGACTTTTTTTTTTTTATCTCAAAGAAGAATTGAACTCCAGTATTTTTATCATCAAAACAAACATTTCTGTTCCAGAAAAACTGACCTATTTTTTGTTGAAAATCAATACTTTGTGGGTCAAAATTAAATCTCATTTTCTTAGTTTTTACAATATTCCTTTTTCCATTGAAAAATTACTTATGCAGAAAAAACCACGTGAATTTTCTCTTTCAGATTTTTTTGGGGTGAACAAATGGTCAACCTTAGCATCATTAGCACTTAGCATTAGCGTTAGTCTAAAAAAATCCCAAATAACAACGTATTCTTGGAAGCAAATGCAAAGTCTCCTAGCTTAAGGCTCTCAGATTTAGTGTCTGGCTCAAACCAACGCGTCCCTTGTCTTTTAGTACAGCATAACCCTGGCATGCTGAGCCGCATGGCCTCGGAGATTTAGGAACTGTCACGGATGTAACCCCCCCGAAAGCCTCCCGCCATGTTGTCCTGGCAAGGCCACTAAATCCTGGGTCCTCCCTGTGCCAAGGATGCGGGGCCAGGTGACAACTCCCTGATCCATTATCAATCACGCTCGGATGCCAAAACTAAATCGGAATAAATGTAAAAAAAAAAAAAAAAAAAGAGTCAGCACAGAGAAACCAACATTTCCAACCCTAATCAAGGTTCAAAATCCTGTCTATCTCGAGACTCCAAATTTTTTGAAAAGTTCCAGGACTGGAGACACAAAAGAATAGCTTCAACAGACTGGGGTTTTTGTCCTCTCAAAAAAATATCCTGAAAATTATTTCAGTTTTTCTTTCACCAAAATAATGAAATTTCATTTAATTTATGGGACCTCAAAAAGATTTTTGCAACATGTAGACCGGTGAACAGCTATCCAAATAACAGAAAGGCGCCATGCAATGCTACACTGTGATTTGCTGACCCTGATGTCACTCACCTTGCCAGGCTGGGCCCTGCCTTTTAAAACCACACACATTCCAAGTCACAGACAGATACAGTATATAGAATGTGAGGATGGCGACCCCAAATGGGCAACAGTGACTTCACACGCACACTTTGTATCGATATAATGCTTCCAAGCGGGGGCTTGGGGAACCTGTAGTCGTTTGTTTCGATTTGAAACATGTCACCAGTCCTGGAACTTTTTTGACACCTCATTTGTCATGACTAATAATACTCACTGTAAACAATATTCATCAAAGGCTTCTTGATGCTGGTACGTCACCGTGATGTTTGTCATGCAACACATGCCGTGGGTATGTGTGTTTGTGTGAGAAGTGCTTACGTCTACACATACACACAAAAATCATGTTTCAGTGTTCCCATGTTTCCTGGTAGAAGCGTATCAATCAGCGGCCACACTGATGGATCTCTGATGATGTACCGGGGCCCCAGAGCGGGGGCCTGTGCCGATTGGACAGCGGGAGGTTCAGAGAGGTGTTGCAGCGGCGCCCGAAATAAGCCGCCCAGCTATTTGTCACAGTTGGGACGGTTGGACTAAAAACAACCGGATGGAGGGAGGGAGCGCATACAAGGACGTGATGTTTTACAATTGTTCTGCGTATTTTGAGCGGAACACACAAAATCAGCTTTCAATTGCATTCCAAATTAGTTTTTAAAAAATAACCATTTCTTTCCCTACTTTTTATTATTATTCCTGATTGGTCCATTAAATTTCTTAGTAGTTCACTGTGTTATTTAATTTTAGTCTATATACAGTATGTTGTGCAGTAGAATAAGAGTTTGAAATGTAAGAAAAAAAAATCTATGCTTATAAAAAGTTGAATTACTCTAGAGTTATCTTTGTTGTCAGTCCCAGCGCTTTAAAACAGGCAATAAAAAAAGCAATGATAAAAAATGGTTGTTGGTTCCCAAACTTCATGTACTTGTCTGAATTGGTCCGTGACACAAAAAAAGGTTTGGGACCTCTGATGTAGAGGTTTGAGGGTGATGTCATGGAAGACGAAGGTTTAGCTGTTTCTTTGATTTCATAAAAATGGTATTCATCAACCAATATAGAAAATGGCTCTCTTTCTCTTCACTTCCACATGGTTGTTATATTGCATTTTTGCAAATAATATGGGACGTGATAGGGGTGATTTAAGAGATTTTTTTTTCGAAAGTCCCAAATGAACCTCCTCCCACTGGTGCAAAAGTTTCATTGTAAGAATTTTGAGGCGTGACACCAGTTTGCTTTTTGTCCTTACAAAATGCGTTTTCAAAATGCCTAGGTGCTTGTGAGCTCACGCACCAATGTTGCATCAGACCCTAAACCTGGGTCGTTTGAAATGATGTCATATCATGTCTCTGGAAGTATGTCGTGCTGCTCCATAAGATGCAGATGCAGTTACAAACTATGTTGTCAGAATCTAAAATTAACAGCGTTACTGCCTTGCGTCAGCTCAAACCACTTCAAACCGGTGGGCTCATAAATACTTTTATTATGTTCTTCACAGTCCCATTACAAACAAAAATGAAAAGATCACATTAAATGCGCATGTACAGCAGCTCACGAGAATTTGAAAGCACAAAAAAATGGATCATCGGCCGCCGCCGTTGGCCGCTCCGCCACCACCGGCACCGCCCCCTGATTGGTCCTGAGCCCCTGACATCATCAGGAAGAGAACCAGGGGCACGATGTACATCCACTGGAAAACAAATCGCCACAACAATTTATTTGTTGGTTGAGTCCAGATTGGCTTCAAGACAAGACGAAGAAAAGCATGTTAGTGAGTTGTTCGTGGTTAAGTGCAACATGATTGACTCAAGTCCCTCCACACAATCATTCCCAGTTAGTAATTGTCCATCTTTACATTGTTAGAAAGCGGCGTATTTCCTCAAATAGTGGCCCCTGCTGCAATAGACGCCGCACCAATTAATGAATTGACTGGACAAATGTGGCCGTGGCAGGATTGACTGCAATTTACACCACCATGTCATGTCAGTTTGTTGCGAATCAAAATGGCAGGACCCACAGACGCAAGACTTGACATGTGGCCGCTCCACTGTGTTGAACTCAAAACAGGCCTCTCAACAACAGCATTTCCCTGCTTACGTTTGACAGATGTCTGGTCTTTCTGCAGTTGAGTACTACTGTACCATAGTGATGGTGGCCACTTTGTGAGGAAATATGCATTATGAGGAGGAGGAGGAGGAGAGAGAGGAGCCAAAATGAAGCATTCTCATGTTTACTTCCAGTGAGTGAGTCTGAGGGGGAGAGGGTTTCAGCTCTGCTCTCTGCCTCCCCCTGCTGGGGGCTGCGCCGAATTGGAGGCCATGAGGAAGATGGCGCCTCCCAGTATCAAATACCACTGCAACATAACAGCACAGCGAGCACCACACAACAGTCAGCAAGGCGCAGCGCTGGCCATCTCATAGCGCCACCTTTAGGCACAGTTCTGGAATTATCACTGACAGCCGCAAATTGGTAAGTGTTTTTTTGTCAACATCCATCTTTGCATGTTCACAGGGAAGCAAAGAGACGCAGGTACGATGAGCGGGAAAGACCGGCAAAACTCTGAAGATGAGGTAGGGGGAATCCACTTACATATTTGGCGAAGAAAGACTTCTGCTCCTGGGGATTCTTGCCTTTCTTCTCTGACTCCTGCTCCATGCGCTCCAGGAACAGAGCCGTCTCGGGCCTGCGAGGACAATTCGTAGCAATTAGAAATCAAATAGAATGAAAATGTGTCAGTGAGTGCTGAGAGACAACAAATCCTGAAGGGAACGCAACGCTGACGACTCAACAGCATCGTAAGCTAACAGTGGGGACAGCTGAGAAAAAAGCGAGGGGAGCACCTCGCGCAACAGAGAAACACAAAGACACTAAATAATCCTGAGTGAAAAAAAAACAACAAAAAAAAAACAGCACACTGTTAGCTAGTCTTGCTACTCATCTATGAATTATTTACTTTGTTGCCATTAGTTCAATAAAAAAGCCATTTTGACTTGATCTTATTGTCGAATCCAATTATTTGATTAAGCCTTTCATCGGCACTACATGTAGTCTAATTACTGCCATCACTCCCCTCACCAGTTACCCACGACACCAGAAATCAATGCGTAAAAATGCCGAGAAGCAATCGCCGTGGAGAGTGACAGACCCGGGCGCGTTGACGGGGGCCATGACACTGAGCGTAGTGTTGAAGAGCTCCAGGTCCACCTCGTCCTCCACGTCCGTCCCCGTGCAGGCGCCGGGCAGTGTGACGATGGAAATGCCGATCAGCGTGCCCGACAAGTCCGTGTGCAAGGTGATCACATCGCTCAGGTGGGACTCCACCATCGCGCACTGAACAGAGGGAACATCGCAATCATGATGATGATTATTGTTCAGAATGTTATTCATAGACTAGAGCAGTGGGAGTCTTTTTTTTATACCAAGTACCATCTAAAAACAAAAAACACTCTACTCTCCAAGTAGACTAAACCCCCTTATATTCATGATTTGACATTCAAAAATAAACAGATTAAAAAAAAAAATCTATTCTCTCTGATTTGCTGAAAATAACAACTATTAATCAATTTTCTTCTCACGCCACACCAATAGAAGTACAAGGCTAGAAGATAAAGGTTACAGTTTATAGTTGTTCATGTAACATAGGTTAATGAGTTGATACATGCTATATTTAGGGTGTCCATGCTTTATGATGCTCTCAGTTGTGAGTGTTTTGATGTTATTGATGAAATACTCACAGCTCTGACAAAAGCGGTGAGGTATCCTTCCATATGTCGCTCCATCTGTCTGTCAGCCTGCAGCGAAACCCGAGGCACTCGGATTCGGTACAAACCATCCACTGATGCCACGTCCTGTCAGAAGTTTTTTTTTTTTTTTTTTAAACAGATTTTAATATATTAATCTTGCTTGCATCAATAGTGGATAAGCATTTGTGCTTGTGGAAGCATGTCACTCGTAGCGAAGGTTGAAAAACGTTTTTTTTTTTTTTTAAATCATAAAATTTGGATTAGGTTATGAATTTGTTCCCATTCTTTGAAATTAGTATTATTGCGGGTTTCTGCTGTTTTTACTCACTTTGAGCTTGATTCTGTCGTCCTGCGTCAGGTGGTTCTGACTCAGGGACACTCCAGATTCTCTGCCGGCTTTCAGCAGCAGCGCTCCACGCACCCGGAACCTGCCTACGTCATCTAAACAAGAGATCGCGCCAGAGTATCCAATTAAATGCATCTGTTTAGGGCACTTTCAAATGGCGGTGAGAATTCTATCGTGTGGGAGCAAAGTGAGTAGACAGGACATTTAAGAGAGAGATATGGTGACCTGAATTACAATTGACACATGCCGAATTGCAGCGAAGACTGTAGAGACTGAGAAAACGTCACCCGGCACAGCCTGGTAATGCCAGTAAGTTAATTTCAGACAACTTTATTAAAAGGTTGAGTACTTTTCGAATGGGGTCTGGTCAAGAGTTTGTTCTCCCCAGTAGCACTGAAGTTGCTTCGTTAGGTAACTAACAAGAGTTGCATTAAACAGAGAAACGTCCTCACCAACTTCAAAAGAATGTTCTAGAGGCACGGAGAAATCACTGAATTCCGCATCTTGGGCGTCGCTAACCTGGAAATGAGAAGAGTAAGGAAAAAAAGCCACACAAGCTGCCGTTAGCCTTGAAACACACACGGCTAACTGCTTCGTCGATGACCAAATGCGACTATTTGAAAATGACAAACGCGTACCCTCCGGCCATTGTTGCACCAGGCGATCTTAATGCACACAAATGATACAATAAAAGAAATGAATGTTGCTTTGAGTGATATTAAAGGCTTCATTTTTGTATTCCACCAAGCAGGTTCAAGCAGAGAAGGGCGATGCAGCGTTCTTAGAACGCCGTTTAGTGCTTCCGCTGGGCTCTTTCGCAATAAGATTCTCCCACATAAACGACGACTTTTTTTCCCTGTGAACGATTAAGTCGATAAAAAAATATTTTTTCTTAATAAATCGTTCCAAACGTATGTATTTCACGTTGGGTAATCGAACATAAACTCCCAAATTCCGTTTAACTGTGAACGAATCCAAGGTGCCGTTGGGACAGCGAAAAAGCAAGACTTTTAGCACTTGTGTTTTGACATCATAACAATCTACCAAATAAACGACTATGTATGTTCCCCTGTTATCATTTATGAAATGAATGGTCAATGGATAGGTTTAATAGTCTATTTCATGTTTTAAGGAGAGCGAATTAAAAGCATAACTGTTTCGTGATCATATATGCTGCACCTGTCCTTCTTGGATGACAGGGGGCGCCAAATGACCAAAAATCAGGGCATAAATAACACCAAGTTCCCTTCTTTTCCCAAAGAGCAAAGAAAAAAACGTCTGCATATATTTTTAAAAGAAGCACCGATGGATTTAATAATACATTAAAATCAGATAAAATGGCTATATTTATGTTCGTTCCATAATCAAAATGTGGGGCTCTCGGAGCTCTAAAAACACTTTATTGGGTGTAAAGCAGCTGAGAAGCAGGATGATGTCATGTCTTAAAGTGCAATACAATGTTGAAGGAAGGAGATTATATATATAAGTAGCTGACTCATGTAGTTTCTGCAGAACTTGAGATGAAGTATCTGGTCACCGATTAGTTGTTCCCCCTCTCTTTAACACCTTAAACACTTGTGCACTCCTTCGTGTGAATTTAAATGTAGATTTTATATGGATCGTTCAACTGTATCACGTGTCACAAATCATGTGTTGTGCAAAAGGAGATCTCAGAAGAAGGCCAGCCTGAAAAGTCTCAGGAAGTCTGCAATTTTGGTTTGAAGTGGACGCTTTCTGGAATATTTTGAAGATTCATCCTTTGAAGCCAATTTCACTTTAGCAACTTGAAATTTGGTAGACATGTCCATGTCGAGTAGACACTCAAAAAAGTCTCAAGACGTCATGCCTGAAAAGACAGAATGCCATTTTGAAGCAGCTATTTGAGGGCCAATTGTGCCATGAGATTGCTTCTCCATTAGATGTGCCTAATATTGTCTGTTGAGCGTGTATTTACATCCGCTGGGACATCTGTGTGGGAGTCACGGGGAGTGTACAGGGCACTTCCTAAAGAACTCATAAGATCCTTGAAATTCTGTACCCTGCTGACAGCTCGGACAAATGTCATTGTCCAAGCGTAAGACCCGTGTTCTCCTTTTCCACATTTTCCTCTTTTTACTTTGGACCACAGAAACGCATGCGAAACCTCTGGGGCCTCCATCACCCCGTTGATTGATTAGCGCGGCGGTCGTTAACATCTGAGGAGCTCCTCGGGGGCGGGCAGCGTCTCCCGGCGGCCCTGATCTTCTGCTCTTTGAGCTGCTGCCAAGGTTTCAGGTGACAAACGCTCTGTCACTCCAAGAAGATGAGATGACTGGCAGTCTTGGCGGCGGGAGGGGGGTGAGGAGGAAGGCGGAGGAGGCGGTGAGGCGATAAAAAGGGATGGAGCAGGAAGTGCAGGCAGATCCACAAAACGACGAAGACGCTTTGGAAGTGACTGTGACAGACATGCCTGAGCTCCAGGAGCCTGGTAAGATGTCGCACCAAAGCTGCCGGCATGTCGACACAAAGGAACAGTTAACCGCTAACGTAGCCTGTCAATCACCTTCCACCGCTTGACTCCCGACAGGCCCACCAGGAAATGCGCAGCTTAGGAGAGGATTTGAAATTGTTTGTTGCATTCTGTAGTTTCAAATGGCATCAGCGCTTAGTGTAAGGGTTTGTTGATGGCTTTGAAAAGTAGACATTGAATGAATGCAGATGTTGACTAGTCGTGCCAGTGGTTGTTATGGTGAGTTTTCAAGACCAAACATCAGAGGGGTTGACACATGTCTTGAATTAATTTGCTGAGTGAGTGGTGATGTTGGTGATTTATTTTTTTCATCTATATTTTACGTTTTAATTTTTTTTCTTAATTTTCTCTATTTTCTTTCACCTTTTCGCATTTGTCTTTGTATTTTCTTTTTTTTTTTTTGGTAATATGTGGGGTTTTTTTTCACTTGTAGTAGAAAATGAAATTTTTTGCTTATTTTTAAAAAATACGCAATGTTTATATTTTATTTTGTTTCAAGTCATATTTATATTAAATACATTTTGCATGTTAAACATTTTTAAAGTGTTTATTGTGTGTATTTTGTATTATGTTCCAAGTAGTTTTCACTTCTTTTCGTATTGTCGACCGTTAGGTATGAACGTATTTAATTTTTTTTCACAATGTTTATCTGATATTTTAGTACTCCTCAGCCTCCAATATCCTAAAATATTTTTATTAATATTTCTTTTAAGTCCAATCGTGTATTTTCACGTATTTTGTCATATTTGGAGGATGACTGCTTTGGCTCTGGTTTGGTTATGCAGGGGTACTAAATCTTGTGACCTGTTCCATTCCCAGTGGCAAATCCCTGACATGTTATGTTACAGTGAATTAAATCTGTCGAGTTCCTTCATCTTTGTGGTCATACAGCGCGAGGTGTCATGTTCAGGAATAACCTAGTGTGTGGTGACATCACGCCGCGGGGCCGTAACGCATGTTGGTGCTGTCATGATGACTAAAATATGCGCTGTTGCCACGTTTTGTCAACAGGCGCGTAAATCACAGCTCAAAGCCTGAGACAAGATGCCAGTGCAGGAGGAGAGAGGATGGCTGAGAAGGCCTCTGCCAAGGCAGGTGTAACCACCTTATCCTTTCTCTCCTGTCTGTGGAATGTAGTTGTTCATTCCACGTCTTTTACGATGAGCTAACGCTGTGACGCGTTTGTTATACTGCAAACCCCCGTTTATCACGGGGATGCACTCTAGCTCTCACGCTTTAACACATTTACCTCACCCCTTTGAAAATCCTCCTTCGCACCCATTCTCACTGTCTTGCTGTCAAGAACGAGGTGGCGATCATACATCGGTTTTAGAAAAAAAGACTCTTACTCGCACAATTCACCCCCCCCCCCAAAAAAAATCCCAGTGTGCGCGTTTCGAGTTATGTCACTCCCCCTCGAAGTTTACAGTACAACTGACACAAAGAGAAATTAAATATGACATGTTTTTACACCAAAATATTCAACTCAACCAAACACAGTGGAACCTCTTCTGTGATTAATCCATTACAGAAAATGTGACTAAAACTGAATCATACGTAATCCAAAGCAATACTTCCTGTCAGAAATAAGTATAAATCCATTTAATCTGTTCCAGACCCCCGCAACATTAACACAAAATACTCGTCACCCCCTTAACAAGTTGCAAGTTACGGCAACATCAGTTTTACGTCCTTTCAAAAGTCTGGCTTTCAAAATAAAGCACAGCAGTATAATACATTTCACCCCACTTTTTTTTTTTTTTTTGGCCAAACAGTGGCTTACCAGTCGCACACAAATTATTTTGTGTTTGTTTATTGGATGCAACTGCTAAATAAGCCACTATGTGGCCGAAGAAAGTGGAGTAAAACTGCTTTCAATTTGAAGTTTACAGAACATGTAAAACACATTGAATAGTCAAGTCACGCATTGAATGACCGAATTATGCTAACTGGATAGATATATTTTTCGGGGGTACCAAAACCGAGATGATGGATAAAAAAAAAAAAAAAATAATGCTAACATTTATTGGTCAGCGCCATAAATGGTCTCATGGCAATTAACCGAGATGTTACGATAATACTATACCTTTAAACAACTGCTACAATAAAAACCTTTAAAAACAAAAACAAACAAAAACGATGGCTTAAAAATCGGAGGGGGGTGGAGAGGTGTTCACGCATCCCATGTCTCAGATTCCAGTGATCTTTCAGGTAGGCATCGTTTTTTAATATGCTTCATGTTCATCGCACTCTCTCACCTTTGAAGCCCTCCTGGCTTTCTTGGCTTCAGCTGGACCATGTGACTCCATCGGGGGTCTGGTGGCAGGCGATCTGGAAGGGGGCACACAGCCTAATAAACAGCCACAAGAATAGTTGAAGAAGGTGTGAGGAGACTGCTGGAGGCTGCATTCATTCGATGGTGTCACCTCTCCAATCAGGGAGCGGATCATCATCCTGCCTCGTGAGAGGTGCGAAAGGCCTCTTGAATGGAATCACTTGCTCAGTGTGGGCGCTTGTTGGTGCTTGCGGGGATGAGAGATGAGGGCGTTTGGGTGCGGCCGACCCCCACCGCACCCCCACCCAAAATAAGATGATAATTTGAGGATCTTCATATACTCAAAAAAACTCAGCATATCTCCAAAGGTTCTGCTGTGACAGCTGCAATGTTTTCAAAATCCAGTGCCTAAACCCAGATTTTCTTGCGAGCATGCGATTTGGTGTACTTAGGCATCATGAGGCGACCCACAAAAAATTCTGCTCACAAATTGTTTAAAATAAAATGTTACTTAGGAGCTTGAAATTTGGTGCGCACGTCCATTACAAGGGCGGCACGGTGGTCGACGAGTTAGCACATCGACAGTGCAAAAGTGCAGAGTTCAATTCCAGCTCCGGCCTTCCTGTGTGGAATTTGCATGTTCTGCCCGTGCCTGCATGTGTTTTCTCCAGATCCTCCAGTTTCTTCCCATAATACAAAAACATGCATGGTTGGTTAATGGAACACACTAAATTGGCCCTAGGTGTGATTGTCAGCGCAGATGGTTCCAGTTCAATGTGCCCACCACTTACAGCCCAAAGACAGCTGGGATAGGCTCCAGCACTCCCGCAACCCTCGTGAAGATAAGCAGATTAGAAAATGAATGGATGGATGAATGTCCATCACAAGAACACTAATAAAAAAGTCTCAAGACGACATGCCTGAACTGAAAAGACATAAGAAGTCTGCACTTTTGGTTTGAAGCTGCCATTTTAGGGTCAAAGTTGACCAGATAATTGTTTTTCAAATTCAGCTCCAAGCAACATGGAATTTGATAGGTGCTGTATGTCTGTCATGAATAAACTCTTGAAAAAGTTTCCAAAATCCAGAAAAGAGACTGGAAGTCTGCTTTTGGGTTTTAATCAGCTATTTCTGCTCAGTAGCATCTCCAAAGTTTTACTTAGAGCAGGGGTGCCCAACCTTGTATTCTGGACAGATAAGTGATGCTAAATTGTTAAAGATACAGTTTGCAGTCCTCATCAATTTCTTTGGTCAAATCAAAGCAGAAAAATAAACGGATTTACCATAAAAGACCAATGTTAATTTGATACAATATACTGTCAATTTACTTTGCAGTTTATCCAAAAATGTAGTTATTACAGTTTTACACGGCTGTGAACTCGCTCATTAGCATCTATTTTTAGCCGCTGCTTTCCGTGCTGTGAGTCCGGAGAGATTTAAGGCGGCCTCTGCTTTTCAGTAGCTAAAATTCCAAACAGATCTCATTTAGCCACGGAATTACTTTGGCAGTGTCTCCTGTACGGTGCCGCCATGAGGCCGAGCGCTTGTCGCATCATGGTTTGACCGGCCGGTAAAGCCCTTATTGCAAGTCTGAAAAATATCTATTTTTGAATATGCGGACACCTAGTTTCACTGGCATTCACGGCACTTGGGCGTTGGCCATACTTAGACGAGGTGAGGTAAGCGCCATTATTACGAGGACGCTTGACTCATGAGTTAGCTCGACAATCTCCCCGTTTGGTGCGAATGGTCACGAAAAAGGTCATGGCCTTCTACAAGAGGAACTCAGAGTCCTCGATGAGGACACCTGTCCTGTCAGCAGTAATTGTGGATATTCCCAGTCATAACGCAAGACAGCTTTCATTTCAAGACTCTGGAACATTCCAAGATTTTTTTTAGAGATTGGCGAGCAGAATGCAGCAAGATGATGTTGGGATGACCTACTTTTACAAATTTTGTCAGGCCAAGAGAGTGAAAATGTTGTTTTATATTCATTTCATGAATATATAATGTCATTTTTATAAGAGAAGGAATGAACAAAGGAAGTCAGGCTAATCGATTAAGACAAGTTTTATCTGTGAACCGCAAAATGTGACAATTGGAACGGAATATGAAAGTTCATCAAACTTCACCAAGTTGCACCCCATCCCACAGTGACTGGTTCAAAGCCAATCAGCAGAGTTTTTGTGTCCTTTCTGGGCATGACTTCTTGAGACTTTTTTTCTGGGTCTAATCATAATAGACATGCCTACCAAAAGTCGCTCCAAAGCAAAATGGAGGACTTCCTGTGTTTTTGCAGGCATGCCTTCCTGAAGCGTTTTTTGTGGGGTATACTCATGGGAGACATGCCGACCAAATTCCATGTTGTTAAATAGTTTCTCATCTGAAAGATTTTATCATAATTTAAATTTCATATCCATAACCAGTGGTGTAAATCGAGTTTGACTGTCACTTTGTTTTGTTACCATGACAACCTTAACTTCGCGCAGAGTGGCTAATATAAGCTAATTTTACAATGCCAGAGTCTGTAAAACTCCAAAGTTGTTGTTAGTCTTGCCATAAATATTCTTCCTGATACGCTAACAGGCGCTAACAGTCTTGGAAGCGCTCACTGCGACATTCCTCCTCGGTCAGGGATGTGATTCATTTAGGTCAGCCAAGGACTGGATGTTTGGCTATGACGACAGGAATTACGGCTTGTTTTTATTTCGTCTGGGACGTCTTCCCATGACGACTTATGAGGGAATGAAGGGGATGCGGTCAGTCATAAGACTTGTGGGATAAAAAGGTTGTGAAGATTATCTTTTATGGCCTGACTATAAACTGATAATTGCATTTCCTCTAAAACAAACGAACGCTGGAAACAAAAAGTTACTTTGAATTGTCTCCATCGCCTGAGGACGTTTTTGGAACTCATCGGTTATCTTGTCATCAGTTTTTGTCCGACTTTTGATTCCGCATCTGTTTGTCATCCATCAAGTGCCCGCCACATACTTGCGGGAACTAGATGACAGCCTGGGAATGATGTAACGCTACACCGGAATGACAGGAAGTTAGCCTCGCCCAAAAGGGAAGTCTCCTTCTGCCAGCCCACGACGACGACCTTTTGCTTATGGATGAACCGTATAAGATGTTTGTTGGAGATCAAGTACGGCCCTTTTTAACGGCTTGGTGCCTGCTCAACTTGGCAAATAGGAACTACTACCTCGGTGGAGCTGAGATTTAGCATTAGCTTCGCCAACGCACATTGATGACAACGCGCATCGTCCATATGTTTAGTATATGTGGCTCGGATTAGATAGCAATCCAACAAAATTTGTCTTTGAATGACCTGTGGAAATGGACCCTAAAGTAGGTGCTAAAAAGTAAAATGGCAGATTTGTCTCTTTTGGTTGTATGGCTTCTTGAGCCAGTTTTAGACACTGCTGAGCTTCCGATGACATGTCTTAATATTTTTGTCCGAATGTTGTAGTCCAGTTGGCAATGAACAAACCTCACGGCCGCGATAGGTTAGTAGACGATCTTCGCGTATGTCTGCTCCGTAAAAAAATACACAGCGGTGCATGTCAAAAGGCCACCACGGTGCTTGAAGCGTGCAGGCAGAGGGGCATATGATAGCGCCAAATGTTCTGGCGCTCGGCCACGCCGCACACTGCTGCTGGTTAGCGGAGATTTGGACGGCTCAGGTGACATGTACACACACGCACGCGCGCGCACACACACACACACACAAACAAGTGTGTTACCCTATCTACAGTTACGTGACATACTTCACATGTATGATCAAATGTTGGACTTGGACGAGATGCAAAATGTCAGCAGAGATTAGAGAAGAACATTCCGGGGAGGTGGCCGAGCGGGTGTTTTTTTTTTTTTTTTTTTTTTTTTGTCCCTTTACTTCGCACGCCTGTCTCACCTGTTGCACAATATAAGGTACACCTATGCGGTGATAGCAGAACAAGAGTTGTATCCAAGTGTGGTTTACTTCTGCATGAGTCATTTGTGTACCAGTCACTACAGTAAAATCAAAAAAGTGTGTTTCTTTTATAAATATATGAGTTGTTGGTAAAGTTATTCATCAGTCACTACAGTCGATATGTTTTCAAAGCTTGCTTCAAAATCAGGCTTGGATGGCACTAAACTTCTTGAACTTCCAGGAAAAGTAAACAGAAGTTATGCTGTTTGGTCCCAGTGGCCCTTGTACATCTCACCCTTACCCTTTTGCCACCCAAAAAAAACGTGGCGGTCTTTCGGCACCTGGGCTGGTGTTGTGCCTGGTTGGTGCTTAAGTTCTTACGAATACCTGTAACGTGTTTGGTTTCTCACTGGAAAAGAGCCAAGTAGGAGCTACGTCATCGTAAAGCGTCCAAACGTCACTGCTTACGTTAACTTTTACCTAAGAGCTCCTGCCCTATTAATAATAATAATAACAATAATAATAATGTGCTGTAAGCATCTGCTAGGCAACTTAGCATAGCAGCGATTATACTTGTATGGAGTGTATAACAGCGAGGGACATGCAATCAGCAAACGCTTATATATTTCTTCATCATTGTAGATGATCATGAGGCTGGCTGAGAGTCGCACGATATCTCGAGACATCCGCGATCGTCCTTGTCTTCTGGTGGGACACAACTGTGCCAGAGTTCACCGCTCAACAGTTTGTGCAAAGCTTGCGTGTGTCCAGGGCGTCATTCCTCCACATCTGCGATCGTCATGATAACTATGGAACTAGCACGAACAAGGTGGAAAAGGGCCACCTGTTGACTTGGTGACCCCTGGCGTCTTATCTAGAGCCGACAGTCTCCAATTTGGGTTTTAAATTTGAAAGTGATTTTAAATTGGACTGGCAAATTGGTGCTGTTGTTAAATCCATCTTTTTCAATTTAGGCAGCTGGCTAAAGTAAAGCCTCTTCTTTCACAAGCGCATTTACAAAAAGTAATCTGTGCCTTTGTTGCATCTCAGATGGATTTTTGTAATGCACTTAATTTTGGAATCAGCCAGTCCTCCCTCACCCATCTCCAGGTGCTCCAAAATGCTGCTGCTCACCCCTGAACTGGAGTTCGTAGGAGGGATCACATCACTCTAATTCTGGACTCTCTTCACTGGCTCCTTGTACACTTAACAGCTCTTTTAAAGATTCTTTTATTTGTCTTTAAATGTTCAAGTGGTCTCGCCCCACTTTACAAATCTGAGCTCTTCCACCCTTAGGCACCTGCCAGGTGCTTCGGGTCAACGGACAGGTCTTGAAAGCTAAATCGGTGATCAGTTTCCATTCATGTGTGAGCCTTGACGTCAAAGTTGTGCATCCGTCTCTACAGTGGACGCTCATTCGAAAGCCGTGAAATTGTTAGCGTCGTTTGAGTGTTGATCCAAAAGTGTCCTAATCCTTCTAATCTCTCATCTCAAAGGATGCTCATAGCGACTGGATTACCTTTGATGTGTTTGTGCTTGCAAATGTCTTTTGTTGAAGTCCCCAGGCCAGGCCTGTATTTGGTGTTCTTCAGGCCAGTTGTTGCTGAAGATGGCGTTTTGTGGTCCATGTGCGCTTTATATTATTGCGGTCAAGCCAATTGTGTTTTCAATTCTTGTCTGTTGTGGAATTGCAGCCAGTGATGGTGATCGAGATACAGCAGCGCCTCCTGCTGGTGAGTGGGGTCACTGAATGTAGAATTATGTTTGTGACATCACGACAAATATTTGTTCAGTCCAATCTGAAATCCTTTTTTTCCCTCTTTTTTTCAGACACCAAAGGTGAGAAAATAAGTGTTCAACCTGAAATTGTTTTGGTGTTACGGTGTGTGTGCGCGTGCGCGTGTGCGTGTGCGTGTGCGTGTGCGTGTGTGTGTGTGTGTGTGTGTGTGCGTGTGTGTGTGTGTGTGCGTGTGTGTGCGCGCGCGCATGCTTCAAATGTTGAAGGTCAGATGAAAACACACACACACACACGCACACACACGCACACACACACACACACACACACACACACACACAGTCTTTGAAAAGGCAAATCTGGTTCTGAGTGTTCATCTAAGTCACCATTCTTCTTCGTCTGCATATGTGCTAATTCATCTGGATTGACGGCACACACGGACTCACTCTCATCCGCTATTAGACTTTGCCTGGCTAACACGAGCGCATTTTAATCCGACAAGGTGAGCGTACAAAAGGTGTTTGTGACTCTCGTGGGGCTCGTTAACGATTAGCTGCTTCTTGGCTGGCGAGGCAAATATCTCCAAACATCATTCAGGAGCTTTCCTTCTACCTCCAGCGTCTCACACACACACATGCTCACACGCGCCTGTCAGACGCCTGGAATAAAACATTTTGGTGGTGAAAGGGTGAGAAGGGGAATTAAAAAAAAAAAAAAAAAAGATTTCCAGAAATACTTTACTTTAATACAAAATTCCCCTCCAGATCTTTTAAGTTTAGAACTAAAGTGATCAAAGACCCGGTCTGCACACTTGCACAAAGGTAGCTGAAGGACACATGAAACATTCATCTGCTTGGCCCACGCTATTAGGAAAACACCCATGCACAGACATGGATATGCACGGTAGATGCATACACGCCATAAACGTGCTCTTTTTTTCCTGACATAATTTGCATTTGCGACGCATGAATGACTGTGTTTCATTTGGTGTGATTTTCAGTGTATTTTCCCTGCAAATGTGTTCGAATTGTTTGACTTTCACGGAACTTGAAGTAAAAGCTGAAAGTCACTTGTGATCAAACCGAGTGTGCGTGCGTGCGTGCGTGCGTGTGTGTGTGTGTGTGTGTGTGTGTGTTTGTATTACACGCTAAGCCAAAAGTATTCTTTCTAGTGAGGTCTGGTTAGGGTTAGCAGTTAGGGTTTGGCCTAGGGCGGGGGTCGGCAACCCGCGGCACCAGAGCCGCATGCGGCTCTTTAGCACCGCCCTAGTGGCTCCTTGGAGCTTTTTCAAAAATGTTTGAAAATGGAAAAAGATGGAGGAGGGAAATATAATTTTTGTTTTAATATGGTTTCTGTATTTGGACAAACGTGACACAAACGTTCTTCATGTTTTCCAATGCTGTAAAAATGTGTCAAATACATATTAAATATCAACATTTCTGTCAGCGAGGATTTGCGTCATAGCCTAGCATGTGTTTACACAAGCATGCCATAATGAGCAACAGCGTGTGTATGCGTGCGTGTGCGGTAACGAGTCAATTGAGGGAGGTTGGTTGATCGAAAAGTAGATCTTCCGTCAAAAAAGGTTGGGCACCCCTGCAGGGGAAAAAAAAACCCTTTTAATCACGAAGGCTCGTTGTATATTAGTAGCCAACTTATTCATTTTGATAGTATGGCCAATATAGATGCATACAGCATGTGTTGCCTTCATTATAAGGTTTATGTCAGGCTTTTAATTTTTTTTTTGCGGCTAATTTTTCGTCCAATATGGCTCTTTCAACATTTTGGGTTGCCGACCCCTGAGTTAGGGTTAGGAATTAGGGATTAGAATACGTGTTAGGTTAGGATTAGGTGTTAAAGACAAGTGGCAGGAAAGGTCAGGGTTCGTGTTCAGTGTTGGCGATTAGTTCAATTGACCCTAATGACATTGTGCTGCTCCCAATCATACATGCACACATTTACACACAATTTGAGGCCAAATAACATCCTTCTTAGCTATTTGTGATGTCCGTTGACTAATAATCTACACAAACATAAACGGAACCCACACACACAATTTTTAGCTAGCCCATTGCTCTCTTAATGTTGATTTTTGTGACAATTTAAAAGTAAGCAATTATGCTATTAGGCTAACAAAATGGGATGCAGCGTTTGCTTGTCATCCATCTGCAGACGAGTCGACCTCAGGTAAGCTGGCTGGCAAGGTGCCGCCTCCCTCACTCTCGGTTGCGCTCTCTTACGTGTTTGTGTTTGTCACCAAATGTCTTCCTCCCACTGCCGCTTTGCTGCCTCCACACCTCATTGTCATCCATGTTTCCTCTCACTCAGCAAACTCTGAGCCAAGCGACGGTAAGATGGCGTCTGCCAAAAGCAAAACTCCCTCACCTAGTCCCCTCACCCAAATGCCTCCCTTCGCTTGCTGTTTGTCTGCTTGTTATGTTTGTTTTGTGTGTCAGTAAATATTAGCGTCTGTCACTGTGTGCGCGTGTGTAGGCGTGACACATGAGAAAGTGAGTATTTAGCTTGTAGCATTAGCAATGAATGGTGACTAAGGTAGTATAAAATTAGCAGAAGTGTTTTCATCACGGAGAAACCAAGTAGAAACAAAATTTGAAGCAAGCGTGCCTGGTGAATTGTGTTCCTTTTCCCATTTTATGAACTCAAATGAGCTGCATTGTATTTATTTATTTATAATGTTTAGATTTTGGAGAGATTCAATTGACTATGTGGGCGGCTGTTTTTAGGCATCCATGGAGTCAATTATGGAAATGGTTACAAAGCTTTGTCAATAGTGCCTCTTTGTTTTTTTGGGTTTTTTAATTATTATTAATTTTACCATATTCAAATGAATATGCTGATAGACCTATAGTTAATTTTGACTGACTCAAATGACTATGCGTATGTCCCATAGCTTTATCCAGTCTGCATTTATACATGGGATTCTTTTGGAAACCTTCCCATCAACCGCTCTGGATAACGTGTGCATTGTTGACATTTTGTTTGTTTTCCATCTGACCAGCACTATTTCGAACAATTCTGTTTTTATACCGACTGACATACTTTCTCTTTCCCACCAACACGCTTTATGATACAGAGTTGCCTGCTGATGGTAAGACTTGCTAAGGACCTGCCTGTTTGCTGGAATCAAGAAATAGACATGGTTTCATGATTTCATTACTGACAATGTCTGAAGCACGGGTGTCGAACTCAAGGCCCGGGGGCCAGATTTGGCCCACCACCGAATTTTATGTGTCCCGCGAAGACAAATCATACACATCGACTTCATGTTTCTCGCTAAAACACCAAAATTGAAAATTGTCTTCATTTTTGATAACATTGAGATATTGCAAGTATTTTTGTTACCAATCAGTCTTTAAAAATAACTGAAAAATAATTTATCAAATTTTTTTTAAAAACTGGTTTCTGATTTCAAAACTAATTTTTGGTTGTGTATATGTGATCATATGAAGGCATACATTTATTCATGATCACAATGGCACTTACCTTTGCTTCAACGTGGCTTGCGACAAAAATGAGTTTGACATCCCTGGACTCTAAAGGGTGATTTGGGTGGTCCCTCACTCTGGTCATTTGTCTTCAAAGGACCTTTGTAGTTAATCATACTGACTGCATGTATCACAATTTAGAGGTAGCAGTTGGTGTTTTTTATCATAAATCTCTGACTGAATGTATCCCATAGGACTAATTGCAGAGGACTAATTGGAGGTCAGAGAACAAAGGAAAAACCTTCGAGGAGTCTGACTGACAAGTCATTGTACACCTAAAAGTACAATGAAGATTTTTTTGTTGTTGTTGTTGGAGCTCTGTGTGGACAAATGTCAAGTATATGGTGCTTTCACACTAGTCACTGAATCAGTTTTAATTCAATTATAGTTGACCGGTATGGACAAACACGAGTCAACAAGTGCACCCTTGTGTTTTGAATTTCACCCAGAACAACTCTTTAGCTGTTGCTTTTTTTGCTGTCATGCAGCAATAGCGATCGCTTCAGCAGCTAATGGGATTAAGCAATGAAATTAATGACAGAATAATAATGCTTCTAGTAGTCAAGAAGAAAAATAAATGGGAATCATAACTGCAGATTCAACTTGATTAACTTCCACGTTGCATGTTTGAAGTTGTCATACGGTCACATTGTTGAAGCCGGCTAATGAGCAAGAAACGCAATTTTTGCTCCATTTTGTGTTTTTGTCCACTCATCTGTGTACCGGACAGTAGCTCTTCCTTGTTTACATTTGGCAACCAATGAAAGAAAAGAGTGATTTTGGTTTTGCTATGCTTGGAATTTTGATTTGTGAACCCAAATCTAACCAAAGTTTATGAAACAAAGCATACCAGAGATGGTGGACTGTTAGTGTGAAAGCACCCCCCCAAAAATTCACAAGATAATACTCCTAATGATGGTGACTAGTTACACACAGTATTGTAAAAGTCCATTTTTGATTATGTTGGTGGTCACGTGTGTCAACTTGGCAGATGTCGCTCCGGGTGAGGACCCTCAGCTATCCGAGCTGACCGGCCTGTTTACGATCAAGCCGGAGAGCGCCACTGCCACCAAAGGTCTGCACAAAAATCTCCCCTGCCGTTTGTTCGGTTGTGCATTAGACATTTGCGCACATCTTTTTAAAATTTTCTTTTAGCTGATTCTGGCTTCTTGTTTTTTATATCTAATATTTACCTTAAGCTTGCTAGCTTAGCTATGATTTATCCATTCAGCCTAATGAGCATTTTATTTACATTTTCATTTGCTCAAATTTGTTGTGCATCATTTTTTTTTAATTAATGGTATCCTATATTTGACAAATATTATTCATTGATGTTTGTGTCATTGGTCTTGTATTCAATTTTGTTTTGGATTAAACCTTATTACTGTGCAGGTCGGACATATTGTTATCAGTTAGTGCGTCCATGTTGACATGAATCTTGCGATGTCATTTGTCAGAAATGAAGATGTTGGTTGTTAATATTACAATTATGTAAAATATCAAAAAATGTCATTTCTTGAGAATATGAATTTTTGCCCATGTGTTTAGACTTTAGGGACACCCTGTATTGTGTATGTATTCATTTTAGTCCACAAATCTTTTCTTTATACAATGGCTCCTTGAGGGAATAGTTTAATTTCCTCGTATCGTAAACACTCTTATATCAAGCCACCTTTCCCCGCTGAAATGAAAGGAAATGCCGTTAATCTGTTTCAACCCCACAAAAAAAGCACTTTTATGTTAAAGGTGTTGTAAAATGTATGCAGTAAAGTGTGTTTTGATTGATTGATGTATGTTGTGAGCAGGGCAGGATGTGACATTCTCGGCCAAAGTGGACGCGTCCACCCTGGTGAGGAAGCCTACCATGAAGTGGCTGAAGGGCAAGTGGCTTGACCTGGGCAGCAAAGCTGGCAAGCACTTGCAGTTCAAGGAGACCTACGACAGGAACACAAAGGTAGACTCAGCACATCAGCCATGAGTTGCTTAGTCTGCTGGCATCTTGACTTTGACCAAGAAGAAAGTGTGCGCCTGGCTGACTTGAAACTCGCTTGTTTTTTTTTTTCTTTCCAGATCTACACGTACGAAATGCGAATTGTGAAAGTGGTGGACGGCGACGCGGGCGGCTATCGCTGCGAGGTGACCTCCAAGGACAAGTGTGACAGCTGCACCTTTGAGGTGTCCGTGCAGGGTGCGTCGCTTCATCGCCTTACTGTCGCCTTTCATCTCGCCGCCTCCGCCGCGTAACCGACTTTGTCAGACAATAACTGCGTGCGCGTTTTAGTCTGTCATTTGGAGAGGTCACGAGCCTTATATTGGCGTGAAAATAAAGGAACCTCGGTGCTCTTCTACTTTCTTCTATTTTGCTTTCAGCTGTGGAAGAGCAGCACCAGGACAACATTTTGGAGGCCTTTAAACGATCGTGAGTGCCCGACGTCCATTTGTCCACCTCATGCAGGGTCTGTCTATCTGTCGGTCACTCTTGTGTTCATGGTTTAAACATCCTTGAAATATCACACAAAGCAATCCGTCTCAAACATGTCCCAATGAATACTCAAGTTCGGTACTTTTGATCCTCTTTCTTAAGGTAGGCTACGTACCCATGGGATTACTGAGGCATATGCGCACACGTGTCACATGATTGGTCACAGGTTTGAAAATCAAAGCCTGGGGGCCAGATCCGGCTCGTGAAGGCAAACCATAACTACAAGGTGGGCACTCGTCTCGAGTCACCACTGTATATACAGTATGGGAAGTGTTTCAGCTGCAAGCTACGTTACTAAATCAGCATCCACCTTAAGCAGGCATCCCGGTATCAGTAATCTGTGCATGAAACATCGTTTCCCATCCTCGTTAGCGCACCTTTTTGAAGACGAGCAGCGCAGCATGTGAAGCGACAGCGTGATATTGAACCACGGAAGCGACTGCGGGGACCTCATTTGCACATGCCTCATATCGCAAACGCCAAGAAGAGGATGAGGAGGAGGAAATGCAAAGCGAAAGGTTGCTTGGAAGTCAGATTTATTAGCCTGCAAGGCTAAACGTGGCTGATGCTGCTCAGAAAATCTTTATGACCACTGCTGAAGTCATTTGAAAACGCAGCTTACATGAGTTTGATTTGTAACTCACAAGCTTATTTGGATAGATAGAACAGTAATTGAATATTAGTGAAAATTTATTTTAATAAAGTAGATCAATCAGAAAGGTCAAAATTTTGAGGGATTCACTGCATACAATAAAATAGTTGATGATTTTAGCTGTTAAAATATTGATGATTATAGCTTACAGTTAACAAAAACCAACGACCAGCAGGGAACGAAATTTGTCGCCTGAATATGCGGCGGCCATCACATACCGCAATTTTTTTTTTTTTTTATAGCAGTGAATAAAAGCAGCTAGGAATTAAAAAAAAAGCTGACATATCAAAATTGGGACTCAGCTTTGATTTCTGTCAGTCTCTGTTGAATCCAAATAAGACCTTTGCAAACATCTGCTTTTACTTTAGAAAAGAGCCGTCTGAAACGTTACAGACCAAACTAGTAACTGAATCATAATCGATCTGTTTGTTTTTATTTTCATTCTCTTAAGTTGAGGTATAGTCTATTTAAAAATGTACACGTATCTGAATCCAGTTGATTTTATTTCATCGAACCACTGGACTAAATAGAATTTGAGTGAATTCAAGAAAAACTTTTTTCACTGCAGTAACTTGTAATTGTCTCTGAACAGCCCTTGTTGAAGATGCTCCATTTTTGGAACACGTTTCACAAAATAAGCAAAAGAAAAAGCAAAAAAGCCCCCCCAAAAACATTGTTTGAAAAACTGAGGAGCTTTCATGAGAGCCTCGATCCAGATACGAGGGTCAACCAGAGTCTGTACAGTGCTGCAGGCTGAAAAAAAAAAAAAAAAAAGACTCACGGATTAGTAAGCACAATGCCTAAAATATCACCCTGGCGTCCAATAATGTGCCTAATAAGTTGACGAAATAGTTTTAATTGCTTGCTATCCTCAGCTTAGTCAAGTGGCCCGCTCTGCCCTCCTCTTGGCACGAAGGTTATCTGAGGCTCCCACAGGCCTTCAAGTACAGTAGGCCGCGCTGACGTTTTCATGCTCAGTCGACCACTGAGCTGGCGCGTCCCGTCGACGAGGTTATTATCGCTCCCTGGGGAGGGTTTGCCCTCCTTCCGGGATTATACCACCACCATCAAGCGCGCATGTTATCCTTGAGCGGAGCGCTCATCCGTGCAGGCACAAGAGAGGCTCGGAATTTATATTGCCGTTGAGG